TGCAGTCAAAGCTGAAGAGATGTCATATGGATTAAACACAAGGAAGTGATGTGGAACTCTCACAAGTGCACTGAAAATTCTGACTATTATGTTTCATCTAAAAATAACAAGCCTGACTAAAAGGAACACACAACAATGAATGAGAATAATAAGAGTGGGGGAAAAACTCCAGAGAAGCGGAGTTCAAACAAGATCCATGATAGTGCAGTGCTATGAGCACAGTGTACAGTACGAGACTGTCTTCAATTATAAATAAAAGACTCAGTGGGAGAAGTGGAAACAGAATAGACAGTCACTCACATGTGAATCTATGTAAAATCGCCTATTGGTGAGGTCCTCATGTGGTGACTTTTTACTCGTGTTCATTAATGACTTTTGGACTCATAAATACACACCTAATTTGCTTTCAGAATAATGTGGTATGTTGATGAAGGTCATGGTCAGTCTGTGCGAGGATTGAGGCTGAAATAAAGGTTCAAGGTAAACAGGGGAGTGTAGGCTGTGGTTTGATGCATAGGAACAATCCTACCAGAGCAAAACAACAAATATTATAATAATTGGTAACAAGCAAATACAAAATTTATGACCACAAACATTAACAATTTTATTTTGCATTCTTATCTGAAAGATTACAACAAAGTAACAGACAAATGTGAAGTGAAAGTCAGGATTTTTCAGGGGCTGCCAATGTCTTCCTTTCTCTGAATGCACACCATTGCCTTTGAATATGTCCTATTGAAGGTTGAATGTCTAACAAGGTATTTAGGACGAATTTGCGCAGATTTTTTTTTCACCCCACAGACCCAGTCGCTAATCACTTTTTCTACTTTTCAATTTCCACAGAGAGCCGGTGTTCGCAGCTAACCAGGTATAAACAGACACAGTGATAAACATGTCTGGCCGCCAATAATTGTCAATAATGGACAGTGAGCTATACAGACCAATTATTGGCATCGTAATTGGTACAAGCTTCTCCCTATACGCCTTAAAATAGAATCCATATGTGTAATTTATTCTAAGTATAAATAATATAAATATTATAAGTAAATAAGTATGATAAGCTGTTCTGAGACTACCAGAGCTCAGGACTCAGAGCTATATCTAGTACATTGGTCACTAAACGGCATCATAAAGTCCAAGGAACCCACAATAGAGGTCAGAGAAGTTAGACAAATATTTCCCAAGCTTTGAACTTCTCACAAAACATCGTTTAATCCATTATTCAGAAATGGAAAGAGAGTTACGCAGGAAATAAGATTGCACCACTGCAAACTTGCTAAGTTGCACCCCAGGAGCTGCAAACTTCTGTAGCTGAGCAGGGGAAATCTGTACATCTGCAAATATTAGTAATGTGCAGCAATAATCTGGCCTTTGTGAAAGCCGCTGTTGAAAGGAAGCCATGCATGGTGCAAAACTATCAACCTCTGTGTTAACACCCTTGGATTGTGCACTCTCCGCTCACAGTCCCAGTGTCAATTATGTAACATTCATAATATTAATGTGTTAGCCCAGACCTAAATCTAGGCCTGAAAACTAAAGTTCACAAACGCTCTCCATCTAATCTTATGAGACAACGGACAAAAACTTCTGGCCAATAAGTTTGTAAAGTCATACTGATTGCAGCGACAAAAAATAGTTCCACTTTTCATAGGCAAAATCATTTTCACTTCACAGATGTGTTGCGTTACTTTGCTTCCCATTTTAAATCTAAAAGAAAATATGTACTGTATGTTTGCAGTGTTAAACGTACAATATGTGCAAAAGTTCAAGTTGTATTAGTTCTTTTGAAAGCAATTATCAATTATCTGGGCTACTCTGCACTTCACCTTCACCCCATCTGTGTTTTTTCACAGAAACATTTTGTGTGCTTTATTGGTCCGAGAGCAGGGGAGTCAGACTGATTCCAGAAAGGGCCGGTGTGGCTCCACCTAGATCCATGGGCTCCTCTCATTCCCTCAAATCTTCAGCTTAACACTGGACTCACCTGTGTCTGTGCTCTACAAGAGATTTTGGGGAAAACTGATGGGAATACTGATGGGAATAAGTATGGGGCGACAGTAGCTCAGTTGGTAGAGCATTGGCCTTTGAGCCTGAAGGCCATGGGTTCGAGCCCACCATAAGACCTACTTCACGACTCCCACTGATGTCTGCTGTCGTTGTGTCCTTGGGCAAGACACTTAACCCTACTTTGCCCGAAGCCCCTGCTGAAAGATCTCAGCTCCTGTGGACTCACCACCTGCAGGAGGATCAGTGAGGGGCTGGTGCTCTGTGTACTGGGTGCAGCTCTGACTGCCACCCCCCTGACCCAGAAATGGATTAAGGGGAAGAAAATGGATGGATGGATGATGGGAATAATCTCATGTTTGAAAATGAGAGGAAAATCCAGGCACGTTTGGATTTAAACTCTACTGTACCAGTATTGGAGGACAGAGAACCTGTAAAATGAGGATTGGCTTATTAATTACAACCTGTATTTGGTCAAAATATATTGCTCCAAAAAGATGGTTCGGACCTACCAGTCTTTGTCAATATAAGGATCTCTCCATACAGTTAAAGACTGTATGTAATTGATTGTTTTGCAAAAAATTATTACAATTACAACTAAATCATAATGGCCAGTGTTGGACAAGCATTGCTGCTGAAGAAGATGTGCCAAGTCTGGGATCGCGTCTTACATTCAGACAGAAGACATGTTTTATTGTCGATGGTAGACACAGCACGATCAAAGCACACGATCACAGATACAATAGAATGCAAGTGTATTATACAGAGCAGAGGCATGGAGACCTCCAATCAGCAGCTGCCACGGTGCCATGTAGCTTGGCCTTCAGATAGACACAACAAGGGAAAAGTACTGGCTTCTGCACATTGATAGAATGATGAGTTTAACTTTAACAAAAGTTGCTTCAAAGTGTTATGAAATCTCACATTCCCCCCTCTGGTCACACATTCACGTGTGACCATCAGGATCGATAAACAGCAACATAACATCATAACTCAATACTTCAAAAACTCATAAACTCGGTACTTCAAAAAACTCAGAACTCGGAATACTTCAAAAACTCATAAAACTCATAAAACATGTTCAGATCTTTCATAAAACTTGTCAACAATCTTCAGTAAAATACCAAACTTCATCAGTCGATGGTGGTTCCAGATATTGCTTTGAAAACAGTCTCTCCCACTTCTCAGTGTTGACTCCTCAGGCTGCATTTGTGTCGAGCCATGAATTCTTCTGTGACGTGTCTTTCAATCACACGTTTCAGCTTTAGTGTCCAGATTCAGAAATCCAATTCAGTCCAAATTATGTCCAAATTCAGAAATCCAGATTGTTCCAAATTATGTCCAAATTGTGTAATCCAATTTTTCCAAATGATGTCCATGCAAAAGAGGACGCTGGTGTTGTCCATGTCTCAGCAGCTCACAGCCTGAGTGGAATCAGGGGCTGTGCAGATTGTCCAAGTGCTGATCCAGATGCATTCTCTTGAGGTTTCTCAGTTTTGGCTTAAAAAAAAAAACACTTTTTGTGTAAAAAAAAGGTCTTCTGTTCTGTAGATGTTACAGACAAGGCCCGCATCTTTCCACCACCTGAAGAAGATGACATAGTCTGGGATCGCGTCTTAAATTCAGACAGAAGACATGTTTTATTGTCGATGGTAGAGACAGCACGAACAAAGCACACGATCACAGATACAAGAGAATGCAAGTGTATTATACAGAGCGGAGGCATGGAGACCTCCAATCAGCAGCTGCCACGGTGCCATGTAGCTTGGCCTTCAGATAGACACAACAAGGGAAAAGTACTGGCTTCTACACATTGATAGAATGATGAGTTTAACTTTAACAAAAGTTGCTTAAAAGTGTTATGAAATCTCACACTGCTTCTGCTCAGGCTGATGTGCTGCAGCTTATTGGCCTGAATTTCCACCACAGTTTGTTATGGCAACCCTGCATCCAAATGAATAACAAATAATGTATTATCTAATTATATTAGATTGCATATTTATATGCCTTTGTGCAACAAAATCTAAAATAAGTGGCATAAAACACATATTCAAAAGGTGTTCAGCTAGTCTTGTGAAAGGTCAATTTTAAGGCACAAGGAGGTACTTTTTCCAAAGTTAGAAGCAAAACTGAACCTGAGAAATGCATACATAGACACAGCCATTATGCTTTCTGTTCACGCTGCCATGTTTGATTTAAACTCGACTCTGGGGACGCAGATGGGGGGTGGAAATTTACATTTACCCTGGGTATTTAACAGGCTTCTATCTTTAGCTTACTCAGGTCGCCTCAGGACAGCAGTGGCTACTGTGGTAGGTCTACACAGAAGCAAAATTTAAATTAAGTGAGAAAACACCACATGGTAGATTGCTTTTGGGGGGGTATGTTGTCCAAAAACTCATATGAGACAGCCTTGGTATACATTTAAAACCAGTCCATTTGGAGTCAAAGTTTTGCACATAAATGAAACCACGATAGATCCATGAATGAAACCAACATAGCACAGACTGTAAACAGTGAGGAGAGCCGTCTGCAAAACTAATGCATCTATGAGGGGTCCTTATGGTTACTAAGTGCACCCACAGATATTCCTGCTGAAAATGTTTCCGTAAAATGATTTTCATAATGTTTTTAATCATTGTATTATATTTAAACGGTATTTTGGTGGCATATTAGTTAAAACTGGCACGAGTTACTATTGATCAATGCTGTGAATAAGAGAAAACATACATGTATCGTATTTTATCTACAGGCATATGCTAAAGCACCCTTTCCCTGGTGTTTCAGCGTGACCTCTACTGCAGTTAAAAACACTGGTGTGCGGAGGTTGAGACCATTGATTTTTGAGGATGTAACACATATTTATGTTACAATGAATTTATGAATGAGAAAGCCATTCATTTAGTTAACATCGTACTAAAGGCTTATGTGCTCCTCGCCGCTAGATTCGCTCGGTGTCGCCAGGGAAGAGTCCTTTTCTGCTGCACTGCATCAACATGGTGAGAGAGTCACAGACCAGCGGCTTTTTATCATCCCCCTTTTTCCGATGAGACACGATTGTCTTTAGAAGTATTTAATGACTCGATATGTGGTCAGTTTGTTATCTTAACCATGGCTATCTCCTCGTGGTTTAGTGTTACCGTATGCTAGCAGTTCAGGTTTAGCTGTCAGTGTAGCCTGCTAACTTAGCCGGGCTAGCTTTATGCTACAGACATTCATTGAAAGGAGCTGATCAATGTCTCTCAATGATTCTTCTGATGTGGGTTGTAGATTGTAACACTGTAGAACAAAGTTTGCCTTCGTTGATTTGCATGTGCATGTTTGTAGTATTGTGTGAACCACAGCATGCTAACTAGTGCACATGACAAACTTTTGGGGTTAGGGGATGGTGAGTTAACCTTCACTACTGCTCAGCTGACCTCAGGATGCCCACTGATGTCAAATATTCAATGTTTTTTTAATGATTGTTTTAGGCTCGTATCCTGTTCCACGTATCCTATAACTGTTACTTACAATACTTGCAACAAGAAAAAAGTACTGATCCTTATACTTTTGTTTAGTGCCTAAAACATCTCTTTTTAAGTCTAATCACTGAACAAATTGTTTGTAAATCATTGACTTAATTAATCATTAAGAGCATAGCATATACTTCTATAGTGTCATTCTGCTGTGTGCTTTTAATTTCATGTTTGTGGACTTAGATTTCACAACATAAACTTTTATGACATATTTTAGAACCATATTCTTAGATGTTTCTGTGGTTTAAAAAAACATGTTTTACTAGTGAATGTTGGTTTTTCCCGATTAAGTGTTTAAGGAAAAGTTACGGTAAAATATTTGTTAAACTGTGCTTTGGTTGGGGGGTCACTTATCACTGCAGCTCTTTTCCTTCACCTTCACACTTCAGTTGCCTGTTCAGTAGAAGGAGGTCAAGCAGACTGACACAGATAAGAGAATCCTGCTGGCTCAATTTCTCCAAGGGAGTAGATTGAAGAAAGTCTCCTGCTGAGAGTGGTCAGTCCCTACCAAACTTGTATGCTTCTGACCCATTTATGGTGACCACCGGCAAGTTCAAGTGGATGGCACTGCTTCCATAACTCTCAATAAGCTACTCGAACTGAAGAAATTGGCAGACTTCAGAGGAAACGGTCACTTTAGATTTTAAAGTTGACCCACAGAGTTGCCAATTTACTCCTGTAGAGGATATTTGTCAGTGGGCAGTCTGTTGGTAAACAAACTGTTGAAAGATTCAGATTTTAAATCACAAATGTTCAGATGCATTGCAATCAGAATTTGATTGCAATGCATCTGAACATTTGCGGCCGTTTTTATGTTTTTAAATGTTCTGCTGGCAATAGCAGATGTATTTTGAACACCAAACCCCAAAAGCTGTATATCATTTTAAAGCTTATTTTCTTATCTACATTTATATACAAGTGTAAACTACATCAGACTTTGCATTCAAAAGATATAACACATAATGTGGGCACAAAATAAATCAATTCCGAAATAGTTTTTTACCTTTGGGCTTGTGCTGTACAAATAAATCAGCTTTCCTCCCAGCTTGCAGTACATCATTCTCTCTGGAACAGTCCAAAGGAAAATTATATCCACTTGTATTTCCCAAAGTAAAATCCATTCTGCAGAAATAATCCAAAAATGTGCATTTATCTTTAGCGAAAAAAACGAAAAAAAAGAGCACAGATGTTACTCTTTCACTTTTAACGGACTTTTAGCTTTGTTTTTCACCCAAACATCTGGTATCTACGTGTTCCTTAGCTCCTTATCTTTCAAATGAGACTACTCCCGAAAAGCTAGACCAATTTTTGGGTCTGCAATAGCTCCCGCAAGTACCGCTCGTGCTGCTGTTTGCGCATGGAGGACTGATCTTTGTTGTGCTCCCAACTTGTTTGCTTTTACTTCCGGGATTTACGATTGACATGTCCTTGTAGCCAATGAGGAAAGCTTTCGAACAAGGGGTGGGACAATGGTGTCCTGTCTTATGTTGTGCCTGGACAATTGTGCGTAATGGAAGCCAAAAGACGCTCTCGAAGCTGCAATGAATTTACACTCATAAAAAAATAACTTTGACATTTAAAAAAGAAAAACACACATAGATTAGTAACTTATAAGTACCAATAATGAAAAATATTGTTTTTATGATGATTAAATGTAAGTAAAGATATTTGGCACAATTTGGCACACTTGTGCCAAATTGTGCCAAATGTGCACTACTTGATGAAAAGGAGAAACTGCATAAAAACTATAAAACTTAAAAGTCTGAAACTTTAGACAGTTGTTGTCAACAACACAATGACCACAGGGTTTGAATATTGTGAACTTACAATGAAGTATGCCTTTTTTAGGGCCTTTAGAAATTGAAAATGTTAGGCGAGGCTAAAAAAATTGGGTTTTTTTCCCTAACTTCAAAGGATGCAGAGGAAAATAGGAATGACAAACATTATTTTAGTGTTTTTTTACATAAACTAGAAGGCTCTAGCTTTAAAATGATGCATCACACAAGCATGTGAGATGTAAGATGTGTTTTTAAATAAGCAAAGACATTTGGGTATGCCCAACCATTGTGCACGAGCCAAAATGAGGCGGTTGTTAAGAGGTTAAATATACCCACTATTCAGAGATACACCCCATTAAAGGCTTCGAACAGAGAGTGGCACGTGGAATAAGTGGAAACTAAACCAGGAATAAACAAAAACTCAAAGAGAGGTGGGCTTTAGCTTAACCAGCCTTCTGCAGTGCTGCATTACAATGCATTGCATAGTTCATACAATATGATCACTGTAGCTGGGTGATATTTTTGACATGTTCTGCATGACAAGTATTTGGTTTCATCATCATAGAGTGCATGTTCTATAGGGCTGTCACTGCCCAACGAGGCCCATGTTGATGATTCCAATATGTTTTACAATTGAACAAAACTGATAGTGATGGGGAGTTCAATTATGGGGCTGGGTACCAGGTCAATTTATGATCTTTGGTACAGGTTCCTGATGGTTAATCTTTTGGTACTTAAATTGCAGAATCATATCCTCTAAAACAAAAACAAAGTTGTTGTTGTCCATACTACGACTGAGAATCTCTTGGTCCCTCACACTACCATCTGAGATGCATGACTCACGATGCAATAATATGATATGTCGATATTGTACTTGTCAATATATTACAACGGAGCATAGGGCTTTTTTTGCCAGACGCTATGAGATTAATGTCAGAATATCTTTACTTTATTCTCATGATATTTCAACCTTAATCTCAAAATATTATGAAATAAAAGTTATATAAATTCAGTCTGTGCATAATGTAGACAGTGGAGCTCCATCGTACTGCAGCTAAATGAACAGCGAGATGCCTTGACCAGAGTTCACACTAGGCGTTCATATACTCTTAAAGTTTAAGAGTATATGAACGCCTAGTGTGTAGAGCTGCAACTATCGATTATTTTTACGATTAATCGAGTAATCGCTTGGCTGTGAATTGTGTAGAAAAAAATTATTTTTTCATCACAAAAAGCTAAAGTGGCAACACTCGGACGTATTGATGGCGTAAACTTAAAGTAAATGTTTGTAACAGGCTCTTTGTGCTAATTCTGCTATCTGATTGGATGAGACAGACATATATTCATGAAATTATAAAAACAAAGTCGGTTTTACTCAAAAATACTACATTTTCATGTCATTTTTGCTCTGTTTGAGTCCGTGTGAACCAGAAAACGATTAATCGATTACTAAAATAGTTGTCGACTATTTCAATAATCGATTAGTCGTCGATTAATCGATTAGTTGTTTCAGCCCTACTAGTGTGAACTACTATTTATTGGGTCTTGAGTTTAACTTAAACTCAAGACCCAATAAATAGTAGTGTTATTTGTTATACAAAATGTCTTGCGCTATCATGTCTCAATTGCAGGGGAAAAAACACAGATTTATATTACGATATTTCGTTATTGTTACGCATTACTGTTTTACAATTTGCATTGGTAACAGAGTATGTCTTTTATAGAAAAACATTTCTAGAAGGGAAAAAATATGTGTAGCGCACAAAGCTTTTTAGCTGCAACTGTTGGTTCATTTATGAGATTAAGTTCAACTTCAAGCATTTGGGTTTTCAGTGGCCCTAGATTGAAACAGAACTGGATCAATAGTCAAAGATGACTGCTGAGTACTGTCCTTAAATGTATTATATATCGTTGTATTTTTTCTCTGTATCTAGTATCGACATGAGCGTGACTGGAGAGTTGAAAAACATTTGACTCCTACAAACGCAGAGGCCGATAGAGCTTCCACTCTGCACCTGCATGCAACGCAGCTCTTCATTTCATATCAGTAGTCCTGAAATTTTGAACATTTCTGACTAAAATCATCCTAGAACAAGATAAACACTGACGGATAACTACAGAAACTGCATGCGAGATGTTTGCCACAGAGTAGGGAAATGTGCCCTGTGAGGTGGGCAGCAGCGTGTCCTGAAACTGGTGCAACCAAAGCCACAAGTGAAGGCTGCAGTGGAGCAGTGTGCTCTATGGTGGGCTGGGAATAGTGCGGTTGGTTTGAAAGTTTTCTTTGTTCTCCAGCTTTAAATTGACCTCCAAGTAGCAGCAATTGTTTTATATTCAGTTATATTCATTCATATGAGCTTGTTTTTATTTTAATGTTTTATGTTCATTGTTATTATGACGAGGGGTTTCACGGTATGAAAAATTTATCTCACGGTTATTGTGACCAAAATGATCACGGCCTTTAGTATTATTGCCATAATAATTTGGTTTTTTTGGATGTTCACTGAATATGTTCAGAAAACATTGATAGTAGGGCTGGGATAAACGATTATTTTTTAAACGATTAATCTAACGATTATTTTTTTCGCTTCGATTCCATTTCATTTCGATTCTCGATTATCTCCCCATTAATTGACTAATATTGATGTATACATGTTGATTTAAATATTTTAATGAAAAAAAACATGAATTCCTTCACAAAAA